TTTTCATTCTCATTTGATTCAAGGAATTTTTGAATTTCAATTTTGATTTCTTCTCTTACCCAGTCTTTCTCAAGGAGGGTGTTGTTGTAACACATCTTTTTAAACTTCTGGATAACTTCCCATTTTAGGTAGTGTATAACTCTTACTGTTATATAGGGAAAAAAAAAAACCCACAAAACGGAATTGAGGTCATTCCTTGATGATGGGCGTTTGCTTCTACTATGCCCTGCTGCTGTTCTAGAACTTTCTCTGTAAACATCAACTTTTTGTTTCAGTGTATAATCATGACGAAATAACTTTGACAACATTCTAAACACAACTTATAGTAAGTACCAACAATGAACATGTCTCATCTGAAGTGATGTAAATGTGCAGACGGTGATATCTATGTTATATGCGCTACCTGGTCAATGGCAATTGTAAGATGACATCAATTGTAAAATTCACCTCAGTTTCAGAAATGGTAAAATGTGGGGGAAAGTGCATCTTAGAACAGATTAAATGAGATATAAACAGTTGTTGAGTTGATTCCAACTCATGGTGACCCCATGTGTGTCTGAGTGGCACTGTGCTCTGTAAAGTTTTCAATGGCTAATTTTTTCAGAAGATGATCACTAGGCCTTTCTTTCTGGTCTGTCTTAGCCTAGAAGGTCTGCTGAAACCTGACTAGCATCATAGCAACATGTTTCAGTCTAGCCTCTGAGTTGAGCAAGGAACTTGAAATATTTCTGTTGTTTATAGCAATTGCCACTAGAGATTTGATCTGAGAGACAGTTTGTGGCCAGACGTGCCCTGTAGCCACTTAGCCAGGCTTTCATCAAGCCCCTGTAGAGTGATTCTTTGGATTTTGCTTCCTTTCCCCATTTCAAATTTTCTCTTAGTCTTCTACACAAACAGAACAATTTATGCTAGGATTCAACCTTGATGAAGAAAGGAAGGTTGCCCTGACAAAGCAGCCTTCTAAGAAACTGGAGCATAGTGGCTACAAAAGGAAAAATGCTCAGAAATGAAAGAAATTGTAGTTTCTCTCTCCTGTGGCTAAACCCCATGAGCCCCAAAAAAAGGAAGGGGGAAAGGAGAAGAAGAAGAAAAAGCTATCAACTAACAGGCTATCAATTGTCATGTTTCCTACCCATTGTGCTGCCCTATAGTTCTATGGGAAAATCAGATGTGGGCCAGAAAGAGGAAATCATACATTTCTTTCTTTCTTTTTTTTAATTTCAATTTATTGTTGTCAACAACTCCCCAAGACAATGTTAATGTTTTCTTCATAAAGATCCTCAGAAAATAGATGCCTAAGAGAGGTTACTTTGGGATACTGATAAATCCAGGGGTGTGAGGATGCAAAACCAAAATCAAAATCTAGAATGAAAATTACGGAGGTATTTGGAAGCATTCTTTCTCATCAACAATCAAGTAAAACCAAGTGCATTGCAACAGATGGTGAGCACATCAAATCCTGGGACAACCCAGTATAGAAGATTATTGAAATTAATCTACTGGAAGTTTATTAAACAGAATTCAGTTTTAATAAATATGTTATAATATCCAGTTCTGTAGAATAAAGCTTTTTTTTTTTTCATGTCCCAGCTGACAAATCAAACTATCTTAGCCAACATCCAATACTGCTTTGAAACTGTGGACATGATGGATTCTACTGAATGAGAAATACTGTATGACAAAAGATTCATAATTCCTTGTCTGTTTAATAGTCAACATATTTAACAGGATAGTGTATTAGTATAAAATATAGCACCAGTGGTTAATTAT